AGTGCATGTTTGGTTGGCAGTGGGATGATGAAAACTGAGATTTGTTCATGGGAAGGGTGGTCAGGCATTGGAAAGGGCTGCCAGGAAGGTTTGGGGTCCCCATCCCTGGAGATGTCCAAGGGATGAGTGGACACTCAGCACTGTGGGCTTTGGGGAGTTCCTGGCTTCTCCCAGCTCCCCCTGTCCCACATAATGTCCAGCACGGTCCTGCTGGAGGGTTCATTGCCCAGAAGGTGTGGGAGAGTTGGGAAATAATTTTTAAAGAGATTTCAAGAGGAAGGGGATGTGAGTCCTGGAGAGTTTCTGGTGTCAGGGACAGGGGGAGAGCTGATTCCTAGAACTGGGTGTCCCCTGAGCACTCTGTAATGGCAATTTTGCAAAACTTTGGGCCTTTTAGGAGGTTTGTCCATGCCAAGGTGATCTGGTCATTAATTCTTGATGCTGCAATTTAAGAGCTGTCCAGGGCTGTCTTTAAAGTGCTTTTGCTGGGGATGCATTAGTGGTTCTGCTAACAAACCTTCCTCTCTCCGTGCTGAACCACAATCTGATTTTGATTTCCTTTGCAAATAATTTACTGCTCAATGGTCTAATTTAACCAAACGAGCTCAAACACGTTGTTCCATTGACGAGGAAAATGACAAATTTCCCAAGATGAGTCTCCTGGGGAAGCCTGAGCTGGCAGAGAGCCCTGGTGCATTCCCTGGGGTTGGCTCTGAGCTCAGGGCTGTGCCAGCTGGGGTTGGAGACAGCAGTGAGCCCAGCTGTGCTTTGGGGCCGTCCTGGAGGGGATAAAAACGGGGAAAATGGGGCCAGGGAAAGGGCTTTGGCTTCTCAGTGCTCACAAATTGCATTTTGCCCTCTGGGTGCTCTGGGTGTGAGGCACCCACAGCCCCAGGCTGGCCCTGGTGCTGCTCTGCAGGGAGATGGAGCAGAGAAATTCTGCTCCGCACTCACATGGATCATTCCACAGTTCTGAATGGAGAAATCATCCTGAAATCCATTCCACAGGT